AGTGGCACAGTGGTATGTCTGCGGACTTACAACGCTAGAAACAGGAATATAAAGATATAGGCCTTTTAGGCTTACAACGCCCTTGTAGTGATAACTTCTCCAAAGATAAAATTTTCAACCTATAATATTTTTTTCCTTTCTTAATATTACGTCTTACTTCTCCATTACATTATTACCTGTGAGTACAAAAAACAGGAGCTTAAGGCAGGAAATAGTAATAGTTTAAAATCGGTTTAAGTTAAAGCCCCACTTTGCCTTTACATTAGCTAATATAGCATTGTGGAATTTCTACTTTTAAACAAAGTTACAAAGGTCTAGTTTCGTAAAAGCCGTAACTTTGTCTCACAGCAACAAGTTTTTCTTCAGATATACAATGTGTTGGCTAAACCGATTTGCTCCTTCAAAGATGATCCGCTGACCAGAAAGCCATTAGCATTCCCAAGGGAATTAGTTTAGAAAGAATGTCTTAAACAAAATACATTGTATGGTTGAGTATATAAGGATGACAGATAATAGAAATAACAAGAAGTGGACGAGATCTAATAGGAACATCACCATCACCAAAACACGGCCTCTCCAGTAGCATGCAAGCTAACAAAGTATGTATTATCTAAGTTATGCTTAGTTTCTGTACATATATTCTTTTTTCTTTGTCTTAGTTGGTTAACAATAATATTTTAAAATTATGTATATATATATATATAAATCTAAATGGGAAAGTGCTATTAGTGGTTTTATCATTAGAAAAACTCAACTTGCTAAAGAAATATTAGCTGGCAACTGGATGAAAAGAAACAAACTGCCATAAAAAGTAGATCATTTTTTTTTAATAATCAAGATTATTTTGCAGTAGGCTTAAGCAGCATTCGTGGTTGATAGTCCATCGAGAGGTCATGAAATTCAGGTATTCTATTGTGGTGAGATTTTAGGTTATAGAATGATTAAGGATTTCTAGAAACCTAACAAATATCTCATAAGAAAATATTAGTGGTTTTTCAATTCTATTTAAGGGTTTAGGGTTCAAGCATTAATAAGTACTATTATTATTTTTAATATATTTCACCATTTTAATGACATAGCCACCCTTTTCCGTAACACTAAATTCACCTTTCGTGTCAGAATCTTTAATAAAAAGGTAGTTTCCTGTTTCAGTTCCTTCATGGCAATGGTCTCTTTCTAAATTACGTTAAATTTAACACCATAACCTGAGAGCTTAGAGATTATGTCTTTCGCTTTCTATCTTAAAAAGATCATGCTATGATCAAGAGTTGTTATTAATCAAGTACATAGCAGCAGAAAGAGGTTTTAATCCTGAGGTTGTTGACAGAGCTGTCAAAAAACTAAAAACAAGGATGAAAATATTTAGTTCAAACCACTTGCTGATATAGTAAAAAAGACTGTTTGGTAATGCTATTTAAACCTGGTTTATCTTGTCAAATAATGAAGGAACTTAGTAAACAAATAAACATTGTTCCGATATATAAAACGATAAACAAAGTTAGCGAAGTTCTTAATATAACTAAAGATAAAACTGATTTAATGAAAAAATTAGGTATACATAAAATATCATGTGAATATGAAAAAGTTATTAGAATGAATATATGTGAATCTATTGAGATAATCAAATAAAAATTAAATTTGAAATATTGAATAAGGATGATGAACCTGATGGAAATGTTATCAGCAGATGGCATAATATGTAAATTATATTTGGTGACTATTTGTAAGGGTATAAATAAGTCTGATTCTTGCATAACATTGAACACCTGAAGATAATGTAATAAAGGCGTCAAAATATGTTGAGTGTCTGAGAATGTTTCCAATCTTACCGGGTTTTATTTTTCTTTTATCCTGCACAGTAAGTTTTTTAGTATTTTATTGTATTTTTGAGACTGGGAACAGTCTCATTTTTAGAACTATATCCAATAAATCGCGGTTTATTGAGAATTAATTTTCTAACATTGAACATTTACACAAGTGCTAGTGAATTTTAAATATTCTATATATTAAAGCATCGCTAAAAAGTAATTTAGTGTTTCTGTTCTATTATCTTTTTACCATAAGTGTAATTTTTCAATGCAATCTATCTGCACTCAAATTTAAAACAAATTTTATAATTAAAAAAAAAGCTCAACTACTTCAACTGGTAACTGTCAGAATCTTGATAAAGATACGCAAAAGAAGTCATTACAGTAAACAAAAACATCTTTATTTGCACGCATTTTTTACGCGTTTCCTAGCAACCCGACACTTGAAATATAATTGTTTGTTTATTTCTTTATAATTTTCATGCAAAGGAACTCGAGGCCCGGCATGGCCAGGTGGTTCGGACGCTCGACTCGCAATCTGCGGGTCGCGGGTTCGCATCCCCATCCCACCAAACATGCTCGCCCTTTCAGCCGTGGGCGCGTTATAATGTGACGATCAATCCCACTATTCGTTGGTAAAAGAGTAGCCCAAGAGTTGGTGGTGGGTGGTGATGACTAGCTGCCTTCCCTCTAGTCTTACACTGCTAAATTAGGGACGGCTAGCGCAGATAGCCCTCGTGTAGCTTTGCGCGAAATTCAAAACAAACAAACAAAGCAAAGGAACTCGAAGGTTATCTGCGCATAGACGGCGCTAATTTTAAACGTATAGCACCCACTGTCAGCTATTGGTTTACTCTTGTCTGAAATAATAGTAGTATAACAGCGTCACTCTTAAAGCGCACATAAGGCCCCCAAAAGCTGAGAGTTTTTTGTTGTTGTTTTTTTGGACAAAGGGAAACGAACTACGAACCCTCACATTTGCTAAGAGTACACGTTAACTTCTCGGCTTCTCCCTGGAGAATTGTAAAACAACTATATTTGTCATAGATCTAGAACACCACGGAAATACGGCTACGAGGCTTTAACAAAAACTGTACAAAACTCTTGTCTTTTTGTAAGTGAAATCATTTCAGTCCATTAGTTTTCTCGAACAAATTTCAGTTTTTGAAGAATTGCAAAACAACATAAAAGTTAATTTGTTTATATAATTGTTGTCTATTTCGATAACTTAATTGGTTGTTTATGCGAAGATCATTGCTGATTTTTACTGATCTAATGATGTAACATTAATATTACTTAACAAGATAACAATAACATATTGTTTGCAGGGTGAGTTATAAAGCACATTGTTTATTATTTTGGATGTAATTCATATTAGATCATAAATGAACGTATTTTCTTAATTTTAAGAAATATTGTGATTTGAACGCCATGATTTTTTGTTTTTCATTTTCAATAGCGAGCATGGTACCACCTTGTCTTATTCATTTTAACCGTGTGTATATTGCGAGTGGCTACTTTCGACACTTCGGTACGGATGATAAGAGCAGTGTCTTTTGACTCTCCCTCGACCCCAGCTACTCATATGAAAAACAACGATGACCTGACAGACGTCACAGCAATCCACGTGCCATTGTATGATTTAAGTTATCGTCCTTTCAGTCCATGGGGAGGGAAGCGGAACGTGCCGATTCTTGGAAATATTGACAATGATCCAGATTGGGACCAGGATCACAGTGATGCTATCTTGACTAAACGACAGTTCGAAGCATGGGGTGGTAAAAGAGATGTCCCTGTGGAAACAGAGGACGATAATGACTATGGGAATTTCGAAAAAAGGCAATTTAAACCTTGGGGAGGAAAACGAAACTTGGTATTTTCTACTATGAAACGTCAATTTGGCCCCTTTGGCGAAAAAAGAAGATTTAATGCTTGGAGTGGAAAGAAAGGATTTAATCCATCGGAAGGAGAAAAGGGGATTTAGCGCTTAGGTTGGTAAGAGAAACTACAACGCTTCGGGTAGAAAGGAATTTTGCATAAAAAAAATACATGGCTAAAAATAAAAACAACTTAGGTTTGCTTTCAGAAAAGAATATTTTCTCTTCCACCAAGATCAAACTGTACGTAAGACCAAATTATGAAATAAAAAGCATGAATATCTTGGTTCATTACATATTTCATCTGTGTATTTTAATCTGATCTTAACTAAAATTTCAAAAGCAAAATATGAAACTAAGTACTTCTAAATCCATCTAAATTTATTTTTTGTTAGATAATGAAACTCAGATCATCATTACGGCAAACGAGCATTATTAATCTAAGTTTAAAGTTTGTTTTCTAACTCTAAATACATCATTTGTATTTAGTATTTTTTTTACCCATAGCATGACTTGGTAGGCATAAGACAAGTATACCATTATGCAGCTTATAAAAAATATTTTGTTCTCAAAAACCTTCAGATCATTTATTTTCATTTTGTAACTACAGAAATAAGTTTTTGGTTGTTTCACTATTAAACATAAAGCTACATAATGTGCTATCTGTGCAGTGCCCACCACGGGTATCGAAGCCCGGTTTTTAGCGTTATAAGCCTTCCGACTTACAACTGAATCGCTGGCGGCCAGAAAATAATAGATGGGAAAATTCTGATGTATAGTTTTGTTTTCAAACTCTATTAGAACATAATTATGAGAATATTTATGATTACCATTCTACTTCGAAACCTAAAAAAAGTTTGGTAATAAACCACAATGAATTAAAGCTTTCGTGAATCTTGATTTTTCAAGTTATCACATAAACTACGTATAGGAACCTTACTATACAACTAATTGTAACCCTTGTTACGGTATTATAAAATACAGGGTGGGCCAAAATATATTATACAGTTGGGTACTATACTGTCGGTGAGGTGAATAATATATGGTTGTTACTCTAAGAATGCCACAAAGAAAACTGAAACCAATCTAATTAATGTTTATTTCAGAGTAACAGTTAGAAATTAAACTATGTTCTCAATGAAACAACTGTATATTCACTTGTATTTTAAAGTTTTTTTTTAGTTTGCTTTTTGGAACAAAACCACATTGGGCTATCTCCTGTGTCCACCGCGAGGAATCGAACTTATGCTCGAGAAGCGTGATCTTTTGATTGGTAGTTTTGTGACAATTAATCAAAATAAGACTGATAATATTTTTTTACATATCTTTCTTTACTGGCTTTATATTATGGATTTCAATTATGGTGATCCGCTAAACCGGCTCTCCTGATTTAATAGAAGTTTTTTTTTAAGTATTACCTCGAAATAATGGATGAAAAATTTAGAAAACTCCATGATTTTATATAAACTTAACACCTGTTGTATCTAACACACGAATGTTAGCATACGTGCCCAGCTTTAGAGACAGAAGAGAAAAGAATTACAGACGTGCTACATTTAGTCCTAAAACTCACAATACAGTGTTATAATTGATGCTAAGTGTTACAATCGCAGTTAAGACACGTAATACCACGTTAAATATATATTTAAGACTCGAAGTATTGTTCTACACTTCGTGGCGAGACTTATTACACCCATATTCACGTATTTCATTTTTCGTCTCTGCGTTTTGATTGTATACTATTACCAAGACATTATACAACAGAATGATAAGTGTATAACAGTTATTACTCTGTATATAATCTCTTGATAAAGATGTATAACCGAAAATTAGAGAAAAAAAATATGATAAAATGAAATGCTGGTTTATAAAAAGAGCATATCTATTTCTTTTAATATGTCCAAACATCTCCAGTCAACATTATATATATATATTTTGTAAACCAACAAAGATATCAAAATAACTTAAAAAAAGGTATTAAACATTATTTCACTAACTCTTAAATAAGTCTCTTTTTAATCCTAGCAGCAGAAAAACAAGAAAAAGTCAATAATTATTTAAAGTAATAATCTATCTATGAATTAGAAGTTAATACTTTTCCAAAATCTAGAAAACTGTTATAATTCTAACTACATATCACGCACTGAATGTATATAATTCCTGCTATGAATGAATATACTTAAAAATGTAAATATAGCTGGTAAATCCATCAACATATTTTGTGCAGAACGAGCTGCTGATAACAAAATACATATTTCCAGTAAACGCGTAGACATACACATCTACCATAATGTTTGTTTTGTTTATTGCTAAGCGCAAAGCAACACAATGGGCTATCTGTACTGTGCCCATCACGAGTATAAAAAAACGATTTTTAGCATTATAAGCCTTCAGGCTTACCGCTGAGCCATTGAGGGGAAGGGGGCTTCTACCATAATGATACACTTAAATCATTTTACGTTTAAATTTTAAAAACAAACCATTATAACAATAACAATACATATCTTTATTGCAGAATTAAACATTAAAACATATCAGTCTACCCATAACATACTTATTCATGTGTACCTCTTTATTATAGAGTTACACTTTATAGCATATTGTTACGTATCTGCTTCTTTGATAATTTTCGGTATAAATTTTTTCCGAGGAACTTCAGCGATACAAGTCCATTCTTGATTAAAACTAGTTTATTCTTTCAGTTGTAGGCCTTGTGTGCCACACTTTCCAAATCCTGTGCCAGCTCTTGCAGGCTCTTTCCTCTAGCACGGACTCTAGTCCTAAACCTAGACCTGTAGACTTCAGACTGATTTTGAGTGGCAAATCAAACTGCAGATTTGATGGCAGCAATACAAGAACAGCAAAAGAAGCAAGAAGAACGAGAAAAGAAACAAGAAGAAAGACAACAGCAGTGGCAAGAAAACCTGCAACAGTGGCAGCTCGAACAGCAAAATAAACAAGAGAGATTACAGCAGTTGTTGGAGGAAAAAGAAAAGAACAAGAAGAGAGACTACAGCAGTGGTTGGAGGAGAAAGAAAATAAACACGAAGGAAGTCTCCAACAGTTGAGAGAAAACCAGCATACACAAATGGAAAAGATTAGTAAATTTCAAATTGCATTAAATACATTAAAGGACGATTTACTGTCTTTTACACAGGGAGGATATTTTAACCATGGACCTAATCAGCCCCAGACAACATGAAGCCCCTTTCAAAACCTTACAGCTAAACCCTAATGCAGACATTTTCAGTCCTGCCAAAAGTCACATTCCAGACACGAATGTCAGCAGTAGGGGTGATCTAGTATGAAGGAAGCCACAGGAATTCGATAGGAAGGCACCATGGGAAGCATATAGAGCACAATTTAAGCTACTGGAAGATATGAATGGATGGACAGAGGAGCAGAAAGCAGTGTACCTGGCAACGAGCCTGAAGGGACAACCGCTGGAAATACTTGGACAGTTGTCAGCAGATGACAGGCACAACTATAGAGCACTGGTAGCTGCTCTAGAACTCAGATATGGAACTCAAAATCAGTCTGAAGTCTACAGGTCTAGGTTTAGGACTAGAGTTCGTGCTAAAGGGAAGAGCCTGCAAAAGCTGGCACAGGATTTGGAAAGTGTGGCACACAAGGCCCACCAAACTGCACCACTCGATGTACTCAAGCTGTTGCTGAGGGAACAGTTTGTAGATGCCTTGGACAGTCCACAACTGAAAATTGAAGTAAAGCAAGCACACACCCTACTATGCAGGGTGCAATGGACAGAGCTCTTGATATCGAATCCTACATTAAGCCCAGCACAGAGGTACCAAAGTTGGTACAGTCATCAGGATTCGAGGCCAGAATAGGGCAGCTTTCAGAGACGTTTGGGGGACTTTGCTGGTACTGTAATAAACCACAAGAGAGCTCAATGCCGGCAACTTCAACACAGGGAAGATGCCATGGCTACTGAGAAAGGTTGTTGGAACTGAGGAGAGCAAGGACATATGAGGAGCCAGTGTAAGAAGAATACTACCCAAAAAGTCAGACTCGGGGAGACCAGTAGTGGTTGGTGTTGAGGGATGCCCACCAAACCCTGTTGTGAAAGTCCCAACAGCTAACTGTAAAATGGCAAGCACACACAGTGTCTACTTGACTGGAAAGCTGGATGGCCGGAAGTGCAAATTTATTATAGATTCTGCATCTCAGCAAACCCTTGTGAGTATCAAGGTGCTAGATCACAAAGGAGTACCAGAAGCCATACAGAAGCTCTGTGGTGTGACAGGACATAATGCAAGGTTGTGGGAACCAGTGTGAGTAACTATTGAGCTCATGGACATAAAGGACGGACAGAAAGTATACTTGGCTGACAATGAAGATCAATGCATAATAGTGTTGTACTACTTACTACTGAGGAAGTGTGTAGTTAATTTTGATAAAATGACGTTCGAGAACAACAAAGGCCAAATTCCCGTAAGTGTTAAAATGGAGGTTAAACCAACCAGGTTCCATCAAGCTGAAGTCAAAGTGACTGAAGGAGTTGATGATGGTGAATTGGAACCAGGTATAGATATTAAAGCAGAGCAGGAGAAATACCAAGATTTGAAGCCAATAATTGATTGTGTAAAAGCAAGTGTTTGCGCCCTGCTTGGGAGAAGATGTCTAGCTTAAACCCTGTGACAAAAACTATTGGTCACAATGGGAACAGTTGAAGCATGAAGACGGTAGTGTTGTCCAGAGATGGGAAACTACAGATCAGAAAGTGACGACCTGGCAAACAGTTATACTTAGAAAGTTACGGGAAGTTATGCTGCGTCAATCCCATAATAGATTAACAGGAGGACATCTCGTAGTTAAGAAGATATTGAATCAGATATGGCAGAGATTTTACTGGATAGGTATGAAGCAAGACGTGGAAGAATGGTGCAGGACCTGCAGTACATGTTGTGTTAAAAGGGGACTCAAGTATAACGGACATACCCGCAGTGAAGTTATATCAAGTTGGTGCACCAATGGAAAGAGTAGCCGTCGACATTGCTGGTCCTCTGCCCCAAACTCGTCCTGGAAACAAGTATATTTGTGTGGTGATGGATTATTTCA